TACATGCACACGTATATGTGTGCTAGTGTAATTTATAAAAGGGCATATTCAAAGAACATTTGCTGAAGGCTTTTTCCAAAACATCTTCTACGAGCTCCATTTTGTTCTCTCAGGCCAAGGCAAGTCCAAAGGTGAAAACCTGCTACCAGTGTCTGACTTTGGAAGGATGACTTCTTTGGTTATAATGATTTTTTTATTTTTGAATTTTACTCTCTCCAGTTTCTGTAAGATTTTACACTATTCAGAGCTTTAACTAGTAAAACTAGTATCATTATCTAAACTTATTGCCTTTCTGTGCAACCTTAACTCTCAAGACACCAAATTCTGCCATATAAACATGCCAAGCAATGAACATGAGTAAGGAACCTGAACTTCCCATCAGAAGAGTCTGCTCTAACAGGATCTGCCTCTGGCATCATCTTGATCAGAAAGGAGTTTTGTATCATTCCTGATAAAAAGAATATTCTCTTAACCTTGTACCTCAATCCTGAAAAAGGCTCCAGAGCCTTGCAATCCAGCTCATAGTGATAAGCACGGCAGGAGCAGCCAGAAGGAAATGAGGCATTGCTTAGAGAGCAGGGATAAACATCCAGGGCCATGATGTGAATCATGATTAAAAGAGAGAGTGAGTGGTGCAGCCTCATGGAACACTTTCATCCTGGGCACTGGGAAACATGACTGAATCCTTAATGACTGTGACAGCACAGACACCTCCGTCCTGCCACTCCTGCCTGAGCCTTCACAGCATCAGACACTGGCCTGGAGACCTGACTCATGCCCTGGACACACCATCCAGCTCCAGGCCAAGGACACTGCTCTGCTCTACAGGCCGTGCTGGCAGCCTCTTCCAAAGGAGCAGGGGAGGAAGGTGAGCAAAAATCCTTTTAGAATTGAAATTGGCAGGTGCAAGCTGCCAGACAAATCTAGGAATTACAACAAAGGTCAAGGAGGAACAAACCCAGGAGTCTGTTTTTTCCAGCGAAGGCTGGAACAAGAGTAAAGTGGCAAGAAGGGAGTGAGTACAACAGTGGAGCTCCAGGGAAGAGGGGGATCCTCTAACAATCACACACATGGCTGCAGATGTGAATCCCATATTCCTCCTAAGGAGGAACATGCAGAGCAAAAGCAGGAAGGCCAGCTCCTGTTCCATGTTCCTGTGAGTTCTACCTTTAGACATTCAGATCAGCATGGTCCAAGCCTGAGATTTTTCTTCCTGTCCCCGGTGTTGGGAGCGGAAGAAAAAGAGCACATGAGAACATGACTTGTGCAGAGACCAGCACTGTCAGTCTGCAGGCAGCCTCGCTCCTCTGAGCAACAGACAGGGACAACAACAGGGGAAAACGTCTGAGAAAAGAAGAAACCAGGTGAAAACTGGGACTCAGGGCAGGCCACTGGCATCAGAAACAGGGCAACGACCCACAACTCTAATCAACAGCTTGAGCAGTTCAAAGTTCAGCTGCTGTGCAAATGTTCTGATCTGCTCTTGTCTGCAAACTGTCCAGCCCCAGCCAAAGTTCTGCTCCCAATGAAGGGGAATGTGTGTTTTCAGTCATGTTCTTGGACACAGAATCCATCCTGGAGAGGCAGGAATGTTATGGATATAAACAAGGGAATTCAGAATATAACCCTTTTTTTGCAGTTATCTGTCAAATGTCATTCTTTTGCTTTCACTTCATATATTACAGGTGGCAAAGAGCTCTCACTCTAGGAATGAATCCATCTCAAGGCACAGGTGGACAGATTCATTTTACTGTTCACTGACCTACAGATACAAATGCTCACAACTATTATCATCACTTCTCAAGAAGTTATCTACTCATTTCATCAAATCTCAAACAGCATTCACACCTTCAACCTCATCCTCTTCTTTAAGAAGAAACCAAGCCATGAAGACCTGAAATTTTTCTAATAAATCACTAGTCAACTCCTGAAAAGGTGCTAAAGGGCCCACAGGTCCCATGTCAGTATTTAAGTCTCCTGCTGACCAACAGGAGGTGGTGCTGGAGAGAAGATGCTGGGTGCTGCTGGGGGAGGAGGTGGGTGGTCATGGCTCCTGGTGCCCGGTGGAGGCAGAGGGACTGATGAGGTCCTGGGGAAGGCTCTGACGTGCCTCCTGCATCCGGCGCCGTGCCCTCTGGAAAGCCTCTGCAACAGAGCAGGTAACACCAAGCCAGCATGCATCAGACAGCAGGGATGAGTCTGCCCAGGGAACATCATCCCTCCTGGAGCAGGAGTCACACTTTTCTGCTATTGAGTTCCACCAATAAAGCACCCAGTCTGTGCTGCTCTGTTCTCTACCTTCTAGCACTGTCTTTGCTTAATGGAATCAGAGACAGAGCCTCATCAGTGCCACAAGCTGTGCTCAGTGCCAGCCCAGCCTGAGCGGCCCAGCCTCAGCTCTGCCCTCACAGAGTGGTTACAGAACCACAGACTGGCTTGGGTTAGAAGGGACCATCTTTAAAGATCATCTAGTTGCAACCCCCTGCCATGGGCCCCCCACCAGACCAGGTTGCTCAAAGCCCCATCCAACCTGCCGTCGAAGACCTTCAGGAGGGGCATTCACAACCTCCCTGGGCAACCTGTGCCAGGTTATCCCTCCTGCCTGCTCAGAGCTGCCACCTCCTGAAGTTTCCAGCTCAGATCAGAATACTTAACCTCTGCTTTGGACTCAAGAGGGCTCATAGGTGGACAATTATCCCCCCAGTAATGGATTCTCCTGAAATACCCTGCCCACTCCATAAAAAAAAACAGGGGGGAAAAGTGAGCCAAAGGTTTGCCAGGGAGAACGACACTGAAAGCCCTACCCAAAACGTTGGAGACACAGCTCTGCTGGCTGAAGCCTCCAAGCCGGTCCAGCACGCTCTGCATGCACTGCCTCAGGGCACTGGTCTCCAGGAAGGCTCTGCACACAAGCACAGCACGAGATCAGGGCTGTCCAAGCCAGCCCAGGAGCTGCAGCCCCCCCAGCACACGCACTTGGACTGCTGCAGGCAGCACAGCCGGAACGTGACGCTCCCCGTGGTCTCTGTGCGGAAACCGAGGCGGCTCAGACGCTCTCCCTGCAACAAGAACCCGGGCTGGAACCACTGCAGCCTGCCACCC